CTATCCGATTTCATCCCATATCTGAATTCATGTAACTAACTGCAGATAAACACAATCAAATACAGGATAAACATCTCATTTTAAATATAAAAAATCTAAAATATAATTAGGATAATCATCGAGTTCTAACAGAATACTTAATTATTACTTTTATAAGAAAATTATATTATTAAACCAAATATAAATTACTTCGTTATAGAACCTAAGTTAAATTATAATAAAAAATTGAAGTAAAAAATTACATAAAAAATAGGAATTTTAAATAGTTAATTTGATACTAATATCGATATATTTTTGTCAAATTTTTATGATATCTTCAAATTTATATTTTATTCAAAAATCACATAAGACCATACTATAACATCGACTGAAATAAAAAATAAAATGAAATATTAAAATCAAGATGTATCTCGCTGCATTGCGCGAGTACCCTTCTAGTATTATATAAATCGAACACTTTATTTTATTTTCAAATCCACTAGTTTTCTTAATTTCTTATTATTTTTCAAAATGGAATCGATCTTGATCTTTATAAATAAACTAGGTAATTTTACCGCGCTTCGCACGGTCGTTGTTTATTGATGAAAGAAAGTATCGATAAATTTGAATTTGATACAAAATGTTAAAAGGTATCACAATAATTGTGTTACAATTTTATTTATGAATGTTTTATTTTGTTAGAATAAAGATAGTTAAAATACATTGGTTGTAGAAAAATGAATATATAAGTTTGAATTCAATATAAAGTGTTAAAATGTATCAGAATAATTATGGTACAATTTTATTTTTGAATATTTTATTATGTTAGAATAAAGAAAGTTAAAATATATTGATTGCAAAAAATGAATATGTAGCGTAAAAGAAGTTAAATTGTGAAATAACAGATAATACATTCTATAGATATATAACTAATTTCATGGTTTTGGTTGTCTTATTATTATAAGAATAAAGAGAGGTGTAATATATTTCTTGTGAAAAATAAAAATATAATTTATAAATAACATATGTTAATTCGGTATATTATTAGATGTGAAGCCGAATATTACATTTTATAATGAAAAATCCAATAAAATTGTGACATGGAGCGTGGTTATAGTATAAAATTATCAAATTATGTTTTAGTTCGAAAAGATGGGAAATTATCGTTTTTTTTTCTTCTATGAATATCCCGAATCCTAAAAAAATGTAATAGAAGATAAATAATTAATTGTTTACAAAAACAATCTGCAATCTTCAAAATGAAAATAACAAAATTACCAATCCGAGACATCTAGATTGACTTCAAAGTCCATATTGTGTGGAAAATTGAGGTGGTAATTCAAAATGAAAACATACAATTTCCACGTTTTGTATATCCAGTCTCATGGAGATATTGGAGCATCTAGTTAGTTTTCTCGAAACCTCAGAGATGACAGAAACACACCAACAACTGATTTTGCCAGACTTTTCTTGTTCCTCCTTATATGGTTTCTCTAATCTCCTTCAGATTGCTTTTAATCGTAGACAAAGAGTAGATAGAGAGATCGAGAAAATAGAAGTAAAATACCCATAATTATTGTTTTATATCTTTCTATAGATGCATAGAAAGATAGAGAAAGGTGTACCGACAGCTATACTGTCAATCCATAATTTCTTATCGTGATCGAGAGATGGAGAAGAGCAAAGAAGTTTGTGATAGAAAGATGTAGAAGAGAAAGAATTGTAACGGTAGAAGATGAAAAGTAAAGAAGTTTATGATAGAAAGACGTAGAAGATAATAAATTGTAACGGTAGAAGACGAAGAGTAAAGAAGTTTATGATAGGAAGACATAGAAGAGAATGAATTGTAACGGTAGAAGATGAAGAGAAAGTCTTAGATTAAATATAAAACCTAAAATAAAATGAAAAAATGGAGAAAAAAGGAAGACATGAATACTAGTACAAGGAGATGCCACGTCAACACTGTATGTTTCTGCTTTATAGATATATGTTATTTGAAAATGAGATAAAAGACGATGATTTTTAAGATGAATGACATTTGAAAGAAAATAAATCACGAAAGACAAATAATAAAATCAAAATGACAAATTTTTTTTAACATAGTGGCAGTAACGTCTATAACTTCATCCGAGGTTGTGAGTTTGATCATTCTGACTACATTTTTGGATCCCATGACCTTTTGCACGTAAAGCGTTAATCCAACCATCCCACCTCGTATTTAGTTTTTGCTGTAATTTTAGTTTTAAAGGCACCCTTCAAAATCAAGCGGGTGCACATTTCAAACGTCTAATTTTTTTTCTCTTGTAATAATCGAGTGAGCGGGTGCACGGAATCCCACTCCCCTCTTAATACGCCAGCCGCTGTTCATGATCATATATGGCATTAAGAAAATAGACAAAAATATATTAACGGGTCAACCTTAATTGATGTGTACTAAAATTACTACTTGTTACCTCACACACTCAATCTGTTATTTTTGCTACCTCTACTTAATCCCATTAAGGGTCTTACGCAAGGTTCTAAATAACGTGAGACATGACATGATTTTAAACTGGTTTAATCATGTTATCTTTAATTTGTCAAATTTAACCTTATAAATATAATTTTAAACTGGTTTAATCATGTTCGATTGTTTGTACATCAGTAACTTACAGATTTTTGTTTAATGGATAAGAAATATGTCAATTTACCGACTTCTGTTATTTAAACGGAATCTAGGAATCATCTAGAATGACTAAAAGTCTCACACACACATACTCTATTCAATTACTAATTTTGGAATCAACATGAAACTCTCAAATTCATTCTTGTGATGAATACTAGGATAACTAGATATATTGAACCTTCTATTTATAGCAACAAGTTTAGACTGCTAAATTTGTCATACCTATTATATATGATTTCCAAAATAATACCGACTTCAATAGCATTGATAATAGCAGAGGGCCAACTACCACCGTTTTTTGGTTCGTGACATGTGTCTTGAAAAAAACCATGGTTTTCTATTAATAGCTTCGATTGTAAGTTTAATCAAACCATAATTAGGCTACTTGGCCTCTTACTTTGTCTATACGAATCTGCTCACTTTAAGAAGGATAAGTATCTTTAAGAACTAAATTTGTCATAAAAGGAAACTTGTTGGCTTAATCGATAAGCCACTATGCGACCCCAACCTTGTTTAAAATGCTAGAAATCATGTTCAGTTTGATTTTACGTTTTTCTTGACATTAATTTGCTTTTTGTATTGTTATAATTTTTTTTCAACGTAAAATATCTGATTTTTTTAATTCAAAATCTAAAACCCGTTATAAATTAAATAATACCCGTTGGTTTAAAGAAAATATTAAAAGGAAGAACAAACCATGTCATGTTAAAGAAACCGTACGAAACTTGTTTAAATTGGCTTACGTCTAATTAGTACCAATTATAGTCAGTTGGTAGTACATATTATAGCAATTAAATTGGTACCAACTTAATTAGTACCAATTACAGTACATGATACAAACTTATTTAATTTAGTATATATTTTTGGTATTGAACATTAAAAATTATAACTTTAACTATTTTGTTTGAACATTTGAATATTTACAAGTTTTATTCCTTGCAGTTAAAATCCTTAAACATCATATCTGTTACCTGAAAATTCAAAATATCACTCAATATTTGAATAAAATGATAAATTTTCTTATATGTAACTTGAAGTTGGTATACAACCATTACCAATATATACTAACTAAAAAAGTTGGTATAAAGTAGAGTTGGTTGATACATGGTTATAGTATTAGAACCAAGTTATCGGACCAGAAATCCAAGATATATGTGTATATATTTGAGTGCATGATTGTGTGAAAAAATTGTAACAAAACAAGAAAAACATGTATGTCATTTGCTTAGTATTGCAGTATATTAGACTGAGGTGTAAGACATCGCATATGTCCATCTGGTTACTTGCATATAACATCAATATGCACAGATGCTATATAAAAGAAAAAAAATGAAAAATATGATTGATAAAACATGATAATGTATATGAAACTCAAAAAATTTAATCATGGATACATATGTATCCTTAACATACTCAAACGACTCTAATTATTTGTATCAAACCAATAGAGATCCATACAAGCTAAATATTCTAATCGATAACTAGGTCAAAAAAAAGAACTTTAATTTCATTAAATCATTTTTTTTCTATCAAAATGTTGCTTTCATCCAAAAACTGACTCCAGTTTTTTTTATCTTGTTTTCCTTACAAAATATTGTATTTCTTTTATTTTTTTGATATAGAAAGGGGGCCCCTCTAATCAAGAAATTTTTTATTAAAACAAGATTTTTTTTTAATATTTTTTTTTAGAAAAGGCAGACAAATAAAACTAAGACCATCACTCGAGTGGAGACTAAACCGAATCAGCCACCAGAAAGGAGCAAAAAGCTCAGAAGAGAGAGAAGGGG